TTTTTCTCTCTAGAGATAGGACAGTTGAGAGGGGAGCTGAGGTAATTAAAACTGTGACAGGATTCAGTAAGGTGAACATTAATAGACTATTTCCACTTGACACAAGAAAGCGTAATGTACGATAGCCAGCTACAGACCTAACAGGGAGATTAGGAGGAACTTCTTTGAGAATGTGGAACTCACTGCGGAAGCTTTGGCTGAAACAGAATTTAATAAGAACATAAGAACATAAGAATTAGGAGCAGGAGTAGGGCCATTCGGCCCTTCATGCTTACTCTGCCATTCAATAAGATCATGGCTGATCTTCTCACCTAACTCTGATTACCTGCCCTATCCCCATATCCCCTAATCCCTCTATTTTTCAAGAATCTATCAGTCTCAGCCTTGAAAATGTTCAAGGACTGAGCATCTACAGCCTTCTGGGGTAGTGAATTCCATAAGTTCACTACCCTCTGAGTGAAGAAATGTTTCCTCAACTCTGTTCTAAAAGGCTGACCCTTAATTTTCAGACTGTGACCCCCGGTTATAGATTCTCCCACCGGGGAAACAGTCCCCCTGTGTCTACTTTATCAGCCCTTTAAGAATCTTATAAGTTTCAATAAGATCTCCCCTAATTCTTCTGTACTCTGGAGAATACAGCCCCAGTTTATTCAGCCTCTCCTCATAGGTCAGTCCCCTCATCCCAGGAACTAACCGAGTGAATCTACGCTGCACCCCTTCGAGGGCAAGTCTGTCCTTTTTTAAATAAGGAGACCAAAACTGCACACAATACTCTCGGTGCGGTCTCACCAAAGCCCTATACAGTTGCAGCAAGACTTCCCTACTCTTATATTCTAAACCTTTTGCAATGAACGCTAACTGCCGTTCGCCTTCTTAGTTGCTGCTGCACCTGCAAACTAACTTTTTGGGACTGGTGTACAAGGACACCCAAATCCCTTTGAATACTAACACTATCTAACTTCTCCCCTTCCAGAAAATAATCTGTTCTTTTATTCTTGCTACCGAGGTGAATAATTTCACACTTGCTAACATTGAATTCCATCTGCCACCTACTCGCCCACTCCCCGAGCCTATCTATATCTTGTTGCAATCTTTTTGCATCATCCTGAGAGCTCACTCTGCCGCCGAGTTTAGTATCATCCGCAAATTTAGACACATTACATTCAATGTCCTCGTCCAGATCATTGATGTAAATGGTAAATAGCTGAGGCCCGAGCACTGATCCTTGTGGCACTCCACTAGTTACATCTCCTGCCAATTCGAGAATGATCCGTTTATCACTACTCTCTGCTTTCTACCCGATAGCCACTCTTCTATCCATGTTAATATTTTCCCATTAATCCCGTGGGCCTTGATCTTGAGTAACAGCCTTTTGTGTGGCACCTTGTCAAATGCCTTCCTAAAATCCAAATATACCACATCTACTGGTTCCCCCTTATCCAACCTGCTGGATACATCCTCAAAAAATTCTAAAAGGTTAGTCAAGCATGACTTCCCTTTTGTAAAGCCATGTTGACTCTGCCTAATCTTTTTATGGTCTTCCAGGTATCCCATAACTACGTCTTTTATTAAGGGCTCAAGGATTTTCTCTACAACTGACGTCAAACAAACTGGTCTATAGTTTTCCCTATTTTCTCTCCCACCCTTCTTAAATAGTGGAGTTACGTTTGCAATCTTCCAATCAATGGGAACTTTTCCAGTATCCACAGACTTTTGGAAGATTATAGACATGCCAATATATTTGGGAGGAGACTTGATGAGTACGTGAGGAAGAATGGAACAGAGCGATATTGAAGGTACAGAGGTTCATGTGGTGTATAAATACCTGGACTAATGGGGCCCGAACGACCTGTTTCCGTGCTGTGTGATTCTGTGTAAGGGTCACTATTTTGAGCAATGGTTACATCTGACACAACGTGTGGTTATTGAGCCAATTTGTCTGGGGCCAGACACCCACAATGAGGGGCGGAAAGGGGAGGAGAGCTGCTTTATTTTAACCTCGGTTAAGACCTTCAAACACAAGAACCATTGGGTGTATAAAGGAGTGTGCACAGGAGCAACAACAAGAACAACGTGCATTTATATAGCGCCCTTCACACTGGCCAAATGCCGTCTCGGAGTAGGGTCTGGATTGTGAATTGCTATGGGGAGGGGGCGGGGGGGTTAATGAGTTAGTGTGTTTGTGTGAGTCTTAGTCTCTGATATCACGTCAAGCTGTTATCGCATTACTGATTCTCTCCCCTTCCACCCCTCGGCAAATATCCCCTCCAGATGTTGCGGAGTGCATCCACTCTTCGGCACCTGCTAAATGGTTCCTCACCTCAACAAGCAACAATATCGCCTGTCACGCCTCCCCGAGAGCTTGACAGTGGCGGAGCCTGACAGTGAGCCACGGGGAGGGGGAGTGGGAGGTGACCGTAAGCACAATCAAAAAGGAAGATCTTTAGGTGGGCTTTGAAGGTGGGGAGGGAGGGGTCGAGGCAGAGGGATTGAGGGAGAGAGTTCCAGAGATTTGGGGTGCAGTGGCTGTAGGCACGGCCACCTCTCAATAATCCTCCGGGAGAGGAAGCGAATGGAAGATCAGAGAGATATTACACTTACATTTTAATACAATACCTAAGGTTGAGGCTGTTACAGAGCTTTATAGTGCAAAGTCCCTTTTAAGAGTTGCCAGAATGAACCTTTAAGAAGCAGATATCTAACTCTGCAACGATCGCTGTCTATAAAGGGTGTCCACAAAGTCCTGTTACCCTCCGTTACAACATGAGACTATGGAGGAGCTGAAACAAGCCGTCACAGATACATTTCCCTCCTCACTGACTCCATCCATGTTACAGAAGATGTGACACCGAACATGGAGACGGATCATTATCTGTTGTGAAAATGATGGCACTCCCACACATACACACCGACACACACACTCACACACACAAACACATAAGACACACACACCCACACACACCGATCCACTGGACCTCTAAGTACTGTTAAACACTCATACTAAATACAATTATGCAACTTCTAAGTAATAATTATCATCATCCTTCCACATGTTTCGGTTGTTGCTCAGTGCACTGTAGTTAATAATAATAATAATAATAATCCTTGCATTTGATATAGCGCTTTTCACGTCGGGAGGACGTCCCAAAGCGCTTCACAGAACACACTGTAAAGTGAATTGACTGTATATTTAAAACAAAGAGGGGTAACACGCCTTTGTGTTCCCGACCCTGTAGATTGGGAACAGCTCCTCAATGTTCCTAGTGATCATGCAAGTCAAACCATCTGACGTCATACCCTTCGCGATTGGAAACCCTTTTATCAGGAGGCTCTGGCTTTGTAGACTTTAACCTGCCTTCACTCAGCCTCATCACAATTAGCAAATGATTCACCCAAAGCTGCAGCGATTAGATGCCAATTGCCTGTGTCACTGAGGAACACACCCTATTCTGTTCATTAGAGTGGGGCCTACAGGCCTCACTGTTTGTACTGCTCATTGCACTGCTTTGTGGACAGGGCATTGAGTTTTAAGAATGTCTGTCTGCTAAGCTTTCCCGCTGCTTGTCCAGCTAGGACCACCCTACCCATTGAGGGCTTTGGCTGCGGGGTTAACAGGAGCTGAGAGGGAGGATTCCCTGCCCCCAGTGACTGTTCTGCCCTTCCAAGTCCTGGCCGATGAGCCAGGCCGGGCTGTGCAGTCATCAGTCGTGCGTGGAATACTGCGGACCGGCCTGGCACAGGAACCGACTAGAGATCGTCACAGAGGTGCTGGCTAAACAAGGAGAAAGGTTACATGACAATCAACCCCTCCCCCATGACCACCGCCATCTCAGGCTGTGAGAGGCACAGAGAATACACTGGGAGGGGGGAAAGGGCTAGAAAATTAAACACAGTGTCACCTCTTTGTTACAATCCATTGTTATTCTCTGTGGTATTGTCGATAGTCCCGGTCTTAAAACTGGCGAGTTCCGCAATACGCCGGGGCACTGCCCAGCCCAGCCTGGCTCATTGGCAGCACTCAGCAGAAGAACACATTAGGGGCAGAGATTCTTCCCACTCAGCTCCTGTTAACCGTGCAAGTCAAAGCCTAGTGGGTGCGAGAGACCTGAGTTCAATTCTAGGCAGAGGGCGAAACCTTGGGCAAGTTTCCTTACTCCACACAGAGCCTAATAATAATCCCTCCAAAACCAAAAACAATAATAAATTGGTCATTTTCAATCTACGACTGTTTGTGAGACATTGCTGTGCGCAATTGGCTGCCGCGTTCGCCCACAAATGTACAATCAATTCACTTTACAGTGTGTTCTGTGAAGCGCTTTGGGACGTCCTCCCGACGTGAAAAGCGCTGTATCAAACGCAAGGATTATTATTATTATATTATTGTAGTTGGACAAGCAGTTGGACAAGTTACCCCAACGCACACTCTGGGGACCCCAAGCCTTGGCTCTTGCCAAATGAAAATTTCCTTTTGGTGTGAAACTCTCACTTCTTTGTAGTTTGGATACTTAAGCAATTACGATTCTCCCATTCCCAACCATCTCAGAGAGGACCTGCTGTAATATTAAATGCAGGACACATCCCTGATCCACCACCTCTACTCTCTCACCCCACAGTCTAGACGGAGATGCTGTATTCCAGTGCTGGCTTCGTCTACAAATCCCTTCACGCCCTGGCAACTCCCTACCTCTCTGACCTGCTTTCTCTCCACTGCCTCTGCTCGCTGGCTCTGGCCTCGTGTTTATCCCTTGACCCTCCGCTTCATCATTTGCGCTATATAAATGCAAGTTGTTGTTGTTGTTGTCTGAGCGCTGTGTTGTCGGAGGTGCCGTCTTAAACCAAGGTCCCATCTGTGTGCTTGGGTGGATGTGAAAGATCCTGGAAAAGAGAAGGGAGTTTCTCCCGGTGTCTTAGCCAACAATTCTCTGGATCTGACGTTCAAGTGGAAGTTGAGACGCAGTGTTTGGAATTTCTGTTCAATTGCCCACTTGTCTCTTCTCTAGGTTCCTGTTTCTATGAGGTGAGTGGGCTCAGTAGCCTGTGCATAGCGAAGCCACCATGCCCCCTCCCAAAGACATTGTGAAGATTGCCGTTCAGATGTCTGGGGCCTACCCTCAACTCATAGACCTCGACCAGGTGAGGACAAGCGTTACGAGACACTGCCCCGGGTGAAGGGCGCTATGTAAATGAGAGCTGTTGTTGCGGTGACAACTTTAAGCGCTCTGAGACGCCGTCCGGCATGGAGGGCGCTATATAAATCCAAGTTGTTGTTGTTGTTGTTGTAATCAGATTTGTTGCTCTTCCAAGCCTGACTCACCACAAGCTCCAAATCGTCCAGAACGCTGCAGTCTGTGTCCTCTACTGCACTGGACCTCACAACACCATATTCTCCCTCCATCGTCACCCGGCTCCCTCATTCCCCCCCACCCACCTTTCTTCATCCAGGTCCCCTGGCTCCCTGACCCCAAGGGCTTCAATTCCAAGATCCTTCACTCCCTGTTTCCCCTCCACCAACCCAACTTGTTGACCACTTCCTCCACTCCGCAAACTCAGGCACTGTCCCCACAGTCCCGGCTGCATTCTGGTAATTGTTCGCAGAATCCCTTTCTCTCTTGCTCCCTCTCCCTCCCTTCTGGTTTTAGAACCCATTTAACAATCTTTTTCTTTGGCCTGACTTTTGACATCCTTCCCACCCTCCTAGTTCGCACCCTCGGGTCCCCAACTCATCTCATCTGCACAACTGACTAATGTAGCTCAGTTGGTGGTACACCAGACCTGAGTCTGGAAGGTTCTGTGCTCCGTTCCTGGTGGAGGACCTTTCAATGGGAGCTGGTTTTGAATTCAGTCAATAATAGAATTATACAACACAGAAGGAGGCCATTCGGCCCATCGTGTCTGTGCTGGTCCAATGAATAAGAGTTTAGAGTAGGTAGTAGACTAGTGGATAATTTTTTGAAACAATCAGTAAAGTCACGTGAAGGGGAGGTGGGTTAGGCCTCTCTGGGAGCCCGGAGTTGTGTTTGGTTGATGCGATGGCTTCAGTCTATTGTCGCAGTTTCACTGATTGTTTTCTCTCTCCCAACCCTAGAAAAAGCCGCTCTCGACTGTCCTCAAGGAAGTGTGCGATGTGTAAGTACGTCAGGTCACCGAGGCCTCGCGCGTGTTCTCACCCGGGTCCCCTGCGCTCAGGTCACCCGGGGTCATGTCATGCAGGACAAAGAAGTGACCCGTGCCTTTTGAGGGTCAAAAGTTAACTCACGGCCCTCTGAAAGGAACATTTGGACCTGGTCAAGACTCGCCCTTGTGATTCCTGTGGCCCACGCGATGCAGTGATGGGAATGGACCAGTCGTTGCTCGTGGCTCCAGCTGGAAAGGTTCCACTTCGGTGTCCATGTTACCATAGCGACCCCCCACAGCACTGGTTGTACCTGACAATCAAAATGGTGGCATAAAGCAGAATGTAGCTCTGGAGTCCTGGAGCTCAGTGGTTAGAGCACTCGCCTTGCAAGCGAGACACCTGGGTTCAATTCCCCACAGGGCGAAACCTTGGGCAAGTTTCCTTATTCCACACGTCTAATAACAATCCCTCCAAAAAAACAAAACAATAATAAATTGGTCATTTTTAATCCACGACTGTGTGTGGGGACGTTGATGTGCGCAATTGGCTGCTGCGTTTCGCCCACAAATATACAGTCAATTCACTTTACAGCATATTTTGTGAAGCGCTTTGAGACGTCTAGAAGACGTGAAAAGCGCTATATCAAATGCAAGGATTATTATTATTATTAATGTCCAGGGCTGAGGTTTCAGGAGCCTTGAGTCACTGAAACCTGTGACCATTGACCCTCATTTGTGCTCTGACCACAGGAAGTAACAAAAAGTCTCCATTGCCCTTAAGTGATGAAATGTATCCGCCATCTTTCTTCATCATCTCTCCGTCTCAATTAGTAATGCTCTCACTTGTGAGGCAGAAAGTTGTGGGTTCAAGCCCCATGTTGGGACCTCAAAGTCCTATTGGCCAGGCTGAAACTCCAATGTAGTGCTGTACTGTCAGAGGTGCCGTCCTTTGGATGAGACTTTAAACTTTTCTACCTTTTGGATGGACATTGTGGAGTCCTGTAGCTCAGTGGTTACATCACTCGAATCGCAAGCAAGAGACCTGGGTTCGATTCCCGAGCAGTGCGAAATGTTGGGCAAGTTTCCTTACTCCACACGCCTCTGTTTCGCCCACAAAATATACAGTCAATTCACTTTGGAGTATATATTCTGTGAAGCGTTTTGAGACATTTAGAAGACGTGAAAAGCGCTATATCAAATGTAAGGATTATTATTATTATTATTAAAGATCCCACGCCACTATTCATAAAGAGAAGGGAGTTTCTCTCGCCCGGTGTCCTGGCCGACAATCTCCCAAATAAAATTGGTCATTCACTTCACAGCTGTTTGTGGACATTGCTGCTTTGCAAATTGGCTGCTCCTTTTGAGTACAAACTACACAGTCACTACGCTTTACTATGAAGAGCTTTGAGACATTTTGCCAATGAGATAAGGAGCTTATATCAAATGTACGGATTATTTTATTATCAAGACGTCACTTCCAAAAGTTCTGGTTTGGGTTTACGCAGTTAGTAAACCTACAACCACAAACTCTTTGAGACGTTTCAACAACAATGTTTAGCCAATAATGCAAGGATTATTATAATTATTTTCAGACAGTTTAGCACAGCTGGGAGTGAGTTGGGTTGGTAGGAGCGCCCCTGGCTACATATAGATGAAAGTGCTCTGAGACACTAACCTGCGCGAGGGGGGCAATACGAATACAAGTTGTTGTTGAATGTGTGATGTGCCTCAGGTTTCAACACTTTAACCTTGAGAAGCTGCACAGGATTTGCAGCGTGAGTGGGGCCACAGCGAGGACTGAATACTCAAACCACGAGGAGCTAACAATAGTCACTGATCCGCACAGCCAAGGCAACAGCTAAAAAATGCACTTCCTGCATTTTATATAAATATTGGTGTCCTCGCACCTACGTGTCTGGTCATGATAGCTGTATGTACAGAGAGCCGTTTTCTGCACACGCACACACACACACACACGCACACAACTTATTCTCTCCCTTTTCAGCTATTTTCGAAGTTCCTCCTTAAAAGGTAACAGATTTAATAATCCTTCCATTTGATATAGCGCCTTATCATGTGTTTGAGACATTTCAAAGCGCTTCGGAGAATGTACTGTGAAGCGAATTGACTATATTTTGTGGGTGATTTCACCTTTTCCACATCCTAACAAATCTCTGCGTATGGTCTCCTAATCTCCCCTTTTTCTTTTGGTTAATTTTTCTGAAGTCTCTGAGGTTTCCTCTCACCCTTAGCTGGCTCAGGACTTCTGCTCGTTCCCTCGGCTCTACCATTGGCGGCCATGCTTTCACTAGGCCAACCATCCTTGTATCCAATTGCCAGCCACTATGCTCTGACTCTCTTCCTCAATCCTGCCTCTTTGCCTGTCTTCAGATCATTCCTGAAAGCTTTCCTCTTTGACCGTACCGTTGGTCACCTCCCCTTTCTCCCTGGTTTAGCGTCGTTTTTAAGCTCTCTGAGACGCTGTCTGTGTGAAGGATGATGTATCAGTGTAAGTTATTGTTCTCTGCTCTGGGGAAACGGCACCAATTCCTCCGGTTTTTCCTCATCAATAAAATCTCTTGTCGTTGATGAATCTCCTGTGTGCCAGCTCCACAGTGGAGTGTCCCAAGCTGGACCTAAAGCTCCAACTGGCTGTCATTGAGATCAGACTGAGCGAGATATAAAGATGGTTGGCATGATGATAGAACTATCAATCTGGTCCAGTGCAAGGGAATGGTTCTTCCTGGATTTGTGAGGTCAGGAAGCAAACCAGCCTCCAGGGAATGTGACAGGATGGCAAACCACCATTCTTCCCAAGCTGGGAAGGGAAGAGGGACAATAATAATCCATACATTTGATACAGCCACATTCATATCAGGAGGACATCGCAAAGCGTAGTGACTGTTTTGTAGGCGAAAGCAGTAGCTAATTTGCGTGTGGCAGTGTCCTGCAATCGACCATGGAGTGAATGGCTGAACTTATTTATAAGAACATGAGAAATGTGGACGAAAAAAAGACCAAGGTCCATCCAGTTCGCCTTCCACCTTCCTGGCAGTTGCATATTTGATGAGGTATCAGCTGCCATCAGATGTACTGTGGACCCCAGACTTCCTGACAGGTTATCACTATAAGATGAAAGTGTTCACCGTTGCTCTCCCTTCACATTCAGGTGGAATCAGAGTAACCCAGACCAGTTTGCATTCCAGTACGTGGACGAGATACAGAATTACATCACTGAGACGGTGAGTGGACCGCTGTATTGGAAACACACTGGCTTCCTGTTCGAAGCTCGTGACCAAGAGATAGAGAGAGAAAAAATATAAATAGGAGTTTGGGTCCTTTTAGAATACCCACCCTGCCATCTGCCCATCATCTCTTATCTGCTCTAAACCACCCTTCCTGGTAACTCTGTACCAGCTTCTGATTCTCCTCTGTGTAAGTAAATTCCTGGTGTCTGCCATACCCTAAATAGGTCAAGCCCCCACATTTTAATGGGCCGGGAACAGTGAATATGGCATGTGTGCAGGGGAGTGCAAATGAGCTGTGCTATAAGGTGCAGTACACTCTCAGGAAATTGTCTGCCAGTGACGTAAGTTGTACTAGTAGAGCTGGGAGTGTTGGACAGTGAGTGGTAGGTTCCCGAGCGCCTGGGCACTGCCGTGTCAGGGCCGCGCTGTGTTGGAGCCAGGTTGAAAGGTCAGCGTTTGCTCAGCGAGAAGTTGGAGCTTTGATCCATTTCAGTTTCCCTTGAAGAACGCGGCAAAAGAGCAGCTCCCTCCGAAGGACACCTGTGGAACTACAGGTTGCGCACAAGATCAGAGCTTGGGTGGTCTGGGCGCAGAAGGCTCTTTGGCCCAACTGCTCTCATGCCTCCAGAATGAGACAGTTGGTGCTGTTGGGATTCAGTCCAGGCGGGGAATGAGTTTGGGGTCGCCATCCCTGTGTTCTGGGCAGCCATCACCCGTCCTCAGGCCTGCCCTGGGGAGAATGTAATCCACCGCCCAGTGGAGCAGGCAACATTTTCCACGGGAGTTTCCATTCTGTCATCCTCAGTAACTCAGTCAGTTGAGTTGGGATGGCTGGCCCTCCACCTCGCGCCTCCCTCGCCTGTTTCAAAGCCCGTCTCAAAACCTTCCTCTTTGACCATGCCTTTGGCCAGCCTCCTTCCCCTTCATTGTTGTTGTGAGCCTTAGCCTCGCTGAGTCCAAACTCATCCCCTTGATGGCTAGTTGGGACTCTGTCTCTGAGCAGAGACTTGCCTGTTGAAGGTGGGGGGTGGGGGAGGGAGTTTGACTGTCACTCTCAGACCCCAGGCTTTTATGCAATCCTTTTACTGTTCTAGAATCGACATGAAATCAAGAACGGAAGCATCCTGTGTTTGGCCAAATCTCCGGTAAGCTCGTCACTCGCTCAGGTTTATAATAACAGTAATAAACCTTGCATTTGATAGAGCAGCTTATTATGTCATTTCACGTCTCAAAGCGTTTAACAGGACGCACTGTAAAGTGTAGTGACTGTTTATCTCATGGGTGAAACACAACAGCCAATAGCGCACAGCAAAGCGCCCATAAACGTCCAATGACCCAATTTTATTTGGGGGGATTGTTGGCCAGGACACTAGGAGGGAGAAACTCGCTTGTCTTTTCGTATTGCTATATGGGATCTTTAACATCCACCTGAACAGGCAGATAGCAAACCTGTGAATGTATACCAGCTCATGGCATGCCATCTGGTACCTCGTCCAGGTTTCTACCAGCCTTGTCTATTTTTCATGCCTTCTGGTATTCCTCAGGTGGGTGTGGGCTCAGGTGGACATCTGATTCGCTCCTGTGTATGTCACACCCGCAGGAGATGAGGAGACGGTTAGAGAAAAAGCTTTACACTGAAGCCAGTTGAGCAGGTTTACTGTGCGCTGGGACTATGGTTGGCTACTGGGTTTTTCTCTAACTCTTATCTGTCTGTGTCTGTCTGTCTGTGATCTGCAGAGTCGAGCGGCTGAGAACCTGTACACCGGCATCCAGAACAGTATCTATGACGTGCGATTCGATTCACTGAAGGAGTTGGCAAGCCTGTCCCGGGACGTGACCTTCGCCCAGGAGTTCATTAGCAAAGACGGTATCAGTGTGCTGGTGCGCATCGTGGAGAGCAGCAGCGAGTGAGTAAACAACAACAAGTGACACTTACATGTCAGGAGGGCATCCCAAGGCCCCTGGATAGTCGAGGAATTGGCCCCGAGCTGGGGGTTGGGATCAGGAGAGGTGGAGGGCAGTGGGGTTAGGAGGGTAACGGAAGGTGCGGTCGAAGAGGAGGGTCTTGAGACCCTCAAATCCTCGAGCCTTGGGCCCTCGAGTGAGTAACTACCTCACTCATCCCTCGTCTCAGCCCTCGAGTGAGTCGCTAGCTGGGCTCTGCCTTTACCTCCTCTGATTGAGACTGAGAATGCCAGTTGGAGTCAAGTCATTGAGGGAGCTTTACGCTCTGGGTTTTGGACCAACAGGCATCGTAGAGCCCACCAGCAGGGGAGCAGAGCGGAGGCTGTGGGTGGGCTGGGAATGATGAAGTGGAGAAGATTGCAGAAATGCAGAGTGAGAGTAAAGACACATCAAGATCAGGAAATGCCTGCTGCTCCTGTATCCTAACCAGGCGCCAAGTGCCAAGTGGAGAATAAGGTCCTTGATGAGAACCACTTGGCACTTGATGAAGATTAAGCCTGGTGAGGATCTAGGAGATGGATTTGGTGGGCGTGGAGGGAAGTGTGGGTGCGGGGGGGGGAGCTTTGAAACAGCTCAGGATCAAACCCCATTTGAGCCTCTCCCTTTGGGAAGTTGTTTGAGATGTCTTTAACGTGAAGCCCTCCCTCACACACACACCCTCAGCTTAACATTGACACAGGTGTCTGTGTCCTCAGCACCGGGGAGAGTCTGACACACACGCTGAAGGCATTTATGGAGCTAATGGAGCACGGAGTTGTGTCGTGGGAAACATTGACCCATGTTTTTATCAAGAAGGTGAGTGACTGCGGCTGCGTGTGCAGTCTCCCATCTGTGTGTGTCTATGTGTTGGTGGAGTACAGTTTTCGGTCGGTCGGTTTACAGACTGTCTGTAAGGTACAGGCTTTGTCTGTCTGTCAGCAGAGTACAGTTATACGGCTTTATCTCTATAAATAATGTCATTTATAATTGTAAAATCAAATTATATATTTTTTAATTTCATCACATTTCACCCACAAAATATACGGTCAATTAATTTTACGGTGTATTCTGTGAAGCACTTTGAGACATCCTGAAGACTTGATAAGGCGCTATATCAAATGCAAGGATTATTATTATTACAGTAGTATTATTAAGTTCACATGTGGTTAACCTAACATATCCAAGGCAAAGGAGAACCATGAGGCTGGTGCGCACTGTTAGAGAAGGTTCAGCTATGAGGAACCATTTGTTAGGCCAGGACTCTTTTGACTGGAAAGGAAGTGTGTCTAAGGGGAGCTTCGAGAGGTGTGTGTGATCAACAGGAATGAGGAAGTTACAGTGCTTTCAGATACCCCGAGATGGAATTGCTTTACACGCAGGCCAATTAAAGACTGGAACAGGTTACCGGGAAGAGTGGTTGAGGCCAGGACACTGGACTCATTTAAGAACCATTTTCTGAATAGTTTCACTTCGCGCTTAAAGGAGTTTAAAGGTTGAGATCAAATAGGCCATTGGGCCTTCTTCATTCAAACCTTTTGTGGGATCCCGTGGCCATGTTTGGGTTAGGGTTGGGCCCTATTGAACTGATCAACATTCAACATCTCACTGATCTGTGATGCTGAATGAGTGAAGCCTGGACTAGCTCTCTGAATTGATGTATTAATAATAATAATCCTTGCATTTGATACAGCATCTTATCACGTCGTCGAGTCGCCTCAAAGCGCTGCACGGGATTTACTGTAGAGTGTTTTTGACTGAATTTTGTGGACAAAAGGCAACAGCCAGTCTGCGCACAGCAGTGTCCCACAAACAGCCACGGAGTGTGAGTGACTCGTTTTATTTTGGGGGCAACGGCAGAGAAAAACTGCCCCCTCTTTTTGAATAGCGCCGCGGGATTTTTACCATCCACCTGAGCTGGCAGCCGGGGACCTCTGTTTAACATCTCGTTTGAAGGACAGCACCTCCGACAGGGTTCCACCAGCGCTGGGCTGGATTGTGACCCTTGCTCTGCGTTGTGTACAGATTGCCAGCTTCGTGAACAAGGCAGCGATGGATGCCTCGATCCAGTGCCTGTCGCTCGCTGTGTTGGAGAGCATGGTGCTCAGCAGCTCCCACCTCTTCCAAGTGGTCAAGAACGAAATCACTCTGGACCAGCTCATCGCACACCTCCAGGTGTAAGTGTGCCCTCACACCTCCCTCCCTCCCTGATTAGCTTCTTCACCCCGCTCCCCTCCCCCCCACACTCCCCCATCCACTGCCTCTGCTCAGCTGGCTCCGGCCTCCTGCTTGTCCCTCGTGCTCTCCTCTCCCAACCTCCTGGAGCCTAGGATGAAGATTCCCCGAAACTCTGGAACTCTCTCCTTCACCTTCCCCCCACTCCCCCCCCCCCCCTCGCCACCACTACCCCGGCTCAGTGTCAGACTCCGCCACTGCCAAGCCCTCTGGGGCCCTACCCTACGTGAAGAGCGCTGTGTAAATGCAAGTCGTTAAGTTGTTGTGAGTACAAACACAGTCACATCAGGGCTGTATGGAGTGTACCCTGCCCCCATTTCCGGTGGCGGGGTGGGGGGAGGGGGGGCTGCGTGGGTGAGGCCATGTGTGAGGGGCTGGGATGGCTCTGACTGGACAGGTCCTGGTGCTGAGCGATGTCCCCTCTCTCGCTCTCTCTGCAGAACTAACCAGCTGATCCAGACCAAGGCCATGGCTCTGATCATCGCTCTCCTCCTGAGCTCCAAGGCCGCTGAGAAGAAGGTAACATGGCCGTGTATGGGGCTGTCAGTGCTGTGGTGTCTCTCTCACTCTCTCAGTCCAGGAGAGTCCGGCTGCTTCCACACCCTCTTGTCTCCTCTATCTGTGCTGGGTTGTCAGTTCAAGAGCTGCCCTCACCCAGCATCCATACTTCATGTGTTGAGGGTGGGGATGGGGGGGCTGGTTAGTCAACTATGGGGTGTGGGGGGGGAGTCACAGCCCAGGCCAATCCCCCCCCCCCCCACACACACACACACAGGACAGTGGGGATTTAATCGGTCACCTCTACGGATCAGAGCAAAACAGGAGGTGGGGATACCGTGGGTGTTTGGGGAGGAGGGTGAGGTGGTGGGGGGGGAAGAGAGAGTTTGTGTGAGGCTGTGTGTCTGGGTGCAGGGGTGTTGTGGAGGGCTATGTGAGTGATGGGGGGTATGCAGGAGAGTGCGTGGCTGCCTTCCTGAAAGATGTTCTTACCATTTTCCTCAGGAAACAATGGAATACCTGAACAAGAAGAACCTGCGGCAATACGTCTTCAAGGTGGGTGTTGTTGCTGTGTTGTTGCTCAGGCCGTAGGCAAGTTTCCTTGCTCCTCATGCCCAGCAGCAAGTAGGAACCCAGTTGTTAGTCGATTGGAGGATCGCTTTCCCGGGTGGAATAATCCCTTCAAAAAAAATAATAATAATTTGCAGTCACTTCAATCCACGGCTGTTTGTGGGACGCTGCTGTGTGAAATCGGCTGCTGCGTTTCGCCCACAAAATATGCAGTCAATCCACTTTCGTGCTTTGAGACGTCTCGAAGACGTGATAAGGCGCTATATCAAATGCAAGGATTCTTCTTATGAAAAAGCTGCTTCGTTTACCCATCAATTTCACTGAGAAACCTTTTGAGACGGTTTGAGATTATAGCAATGCAAATTCTCTCTGGTTTCTCCACTGTGCTGTGGGAGCGAGTCTCTGGCTCTGGTGCTGTCGGACTATCACTGCTTGTGTTGTCTTGCCAGAATATTATTCTCAGTTCCAACTTGTTGGGGGATGAGATGGCCCACTACCTCTACGTCCTTCAGTCCATTTCTCTCAACCTCCTGGAGCCTAGGATGAAGATTCCCATGGATCCTTATAACCAGGTGGGTCTCTTCCTCACACTGACTGTGACTGTCCTCCTGTCACTCACAGAGTAGCTGTTTACACAGACCTACAGCTTCCAGTGATCACTGCTATCAATGACAACAACAGAAAATTACATGTGTGCAGCACCTTTCACCAAGGCGCTGACAGTCAGGGATTTGGATCCGAGGTGGGGGTTGGAATCAGGGGGAAGTGGAGGTCAGGAAGGGAAGGAGTTTGACCAAATGCACAGTCAAAGAGAAGAGGTTTGAGATGTGC